CGTTAAAATGAAGTGACCACACAGCTCTAGAACAATGAGGAAGCAAATGGCATTTACTATACAGCGATTTCGGATGCCATAGATTAGTTTGGACAATAATTTTATTATACTTCAAAAACAAGCGTTCTAACTCACTGCAAGTTAACCACAACGCATGTCTTGTTTCCACTTCCACTGGTTCTCGTTGTTTCGAGCTGGTACAGGTGAATGCGCAGCTTTACTGGTGCATAACTTCATATCACCATTTCTTCCAGAGAACCCTTCTATTGCTGGCATGCCTGCACGCTGCACTTCGCCCTTTTGATGGCTTATTCAGTTACAGCTTTGAGAGGGGACGTCAGGGCGAACAGGTTGTCAGAATGTGGTTCCTTTCACGTCCTCTTCACAAGATATGAGCGAGTTCGTAACTTCACTGCTCGGATAACGCAAGTTCTCACCATCCTGAACATACTCTTTCAGTGCAGTTAAATATGCGTGTTCATGGCTCACCGAGCCCTTCATTGGAGCCCTGCACTGCCCCAAATTCGTTTTCTACAAGATTCCTTACACGAGAAATCCACCTATATGGTGCAAAATGCTACATTCTATTGAAGTCAACGATTCAATGAAAAGATTTTCCCCATCATCAATTTCCTCTTCAGCATCTGCATGACAGTCTATTTTCCCCTGGGAAATCATGGCAACCGGAAACTGTGAGTCATAATTTTTATACCTAGAGTTCGCCGGCATGTGCAGAATCTGGCTGACGCATACCAGCTTTAGAGCGCATTTCAATTCGTAGGCGTTAGGAATGGGCGCTCGGACGGACGCACAAACGAAGCGACGCGTGGACGAATGCAGGGACAAATGAATGGATGGACGCGCAGACGCACAGATGGACGCATAGACGGACAGAAGCATGGATGGACGCACGAACTAACGCAGAGACGGACGAACAGACGGACGCAAGGACGGACGGATGCACGTAAGCACGGACGGACTGATGGACGCTTCGCCCCAGTTATCATCCACTCCGTGAATATGCTGTGACACCGTTTTAATTGACATGCAATGCAATGCAACTGGCTACTGCGACTACAATGACACGTGACCCACGGCGTAAAGGGCTTTGCCTTTTAAAGCAATAGTTGAAGGCGCCGGCAGCAACAAGCCCACAAAGTGGGCGCACATCTTCGCGCCTATGCAGCTTGTGTACAAGAAGCGATTGAGATCAACGCATTTTGTGCTATCCAAAATTAATGAGTTAAACACGCATGTACACAGCATGCAAATGAACATGTGTTGCACTCGGTGCACTGGTGATCGCAATTAAGCCGGATCAGAATAAAATTTCTCAAAAGTGATTGGCGCGTTCTGCAGCTGGTGTAAGAGAGTTAATCATACAGCTTTATCGTGATTGAAAGTGCCCGTGTGACAGCACTTCATGTTATAACTCTCGAAATGCTGAAATGGCATAAATTACGCTGCAAAAACACGAACTGTCCGTGGGTTCTCGCGCTTGATATTTACAAGCCACAAGAGTCGCCTTTTCGGATCTTTCGGGAATCTGAACATCCTGTAGCCATTTCGCGAGTGGTTCGTGCACTGTGGCACGCAACAACAAGGCATTTTGCCCGAGAAAACGCCACGCATCTGTCTCACTCAACCAGCCGCGACGAGACGGGGAGAGCTGAATGGCGGTCGCCGATCGGAAGGTGGCACTCACCCCATAAAAGAGTGGTTACACCCTCCAAGTGGGCGCGCGAATCGAGGAACCATACATTTAGAGCGCTTCCAACGCCCCCAACGTGATCATGCGTGTCATCTCACTACTGATAACGAAAACACACTGAAGTTTCGAAGCTCTGAGGACCGCCAAACGGTGTATGGTGTATATATATGGTTTGCCGTTACCACCGACAACGTATGTTCTGTCGCGTACTGGTTAACGCCACGCACTGTAAAGCGAGGGGTTGCCGGTTCGATTGTGAGTGTCATGCCCCGCCGCGGTGGTCTAGTGGCTAAGGTACTCGGCTGCTGACCCGCAGGTCGCGGGATCGATTCCCGGCTGCGGCGGCTGCATTTCCGATGGAGGCGGAAATGTTGGAGGCCCGTGTACTCAGATTTGGGTGCACGTTAAAGAACCCCAGGTGGTCAAAATTTCCGGAGCCCTCCACTACGGCGTCTCTCATAATCAAATGGTGGTTTTCGGACGTTAAACCCCACAAATCAATCAATCATTGTGAGTGTCATGTAACATGTGCGTGTCATGTGAGAACATGACTACATGCCACAGTCAAGGCGCCAATACATTTCGACGTGACGCGTTGCGCGTGCTCGCCGGCGTTCATTTGCGAGTATATGGCAGTATGCGAGTATATGACAGGGCCGGTGCCGGCGTTCACGCCATGCGCCGGTCCTGCCGTGTACTCGCAGGCGCGCGCCGCGCGGCATTCCTTTCACGCATGCGCGTTTCAGTGCGTCCGGCGTCCCTCCGTTACGAAAAGAGGGAGACGCAGTGTTCTCTGGGTAATGCATTCGCACGAAATGCAGCATGTCGCATCTCGCGCCGGCTGCCGTCGGGCCGCGCCAATGGACGCTGGTAGCGCCTGGCGTCAAACTATAGTGCTCGCGTTTTGCTAACGTAGCGTCGCTGGGCCCAGCGTGCACGCGCGTCAACGCTACATTGGAGTATATTGCACCCTTAGATATGCGCTCACGGCCGTTTTGATAGCTTCACATATACCAATTTTGGTGTCACGTCAATGAATGACGAAATATATGACCGGTGCAAACATGATACTCCTGACACGCATGTCATGTAAGAACATGACAACATACCACGCTCATAGCGTGCGCATGGCCGTTTCGCTAGCACCACATATCGTCACGTAAGAGTGAGGGTAGCCCGAAGACAGGAGACCGGGAGGTTAGTAGAAATAGGAGATCCGTTTATTTGGCGGACTTGCGCCCACTAAAGGAAAACAGACACACCGGCTTAGCGGGAGGCGAACAGCGCGCTCGACGGCCGTCGGGTAACGGAAAATGACCCACTGGAACGCAAGGCGCGTTCGACAGCCATCGGGTAACAGAAATGTCCCACTGGAACGCAAGGCGCGTTCGACGGCCGTCGGGTAACAGAAATGTCCCACTGGAACGCAAGGCGCGTTCGACGGCCGTCGGGTAACAGAAATGTCCCACTGGAACGCAAGGCGCGTTCATCATCCGAGATACAGTCACCGTAGCGTCTGGCGCTATCTCGTTATCAATGAATGGTCGACGTGCGGGCCATGATCTTCGCAGGTGAGTCGCGGTGCATCCTGGACCACGATAAGGCCGCGTGCCGGCGGTATCGGCATGCGCAACACTATCCGCAATACGCCTCGCGGCATATACTAAATTTGGTATCTCGTGACTTGACTAGATGACGAAGGTAAACGACACATCCAAACATGATAATCATGCTACGGAAGTCATTAACGGCATCATTTACCTCCACCTCGTAACGTTGTGCTGATTTTAAAGTGACGTTTCAACATTTCTCATTCGTGCTTCGCATATCATCGATTCTCACTGTACGTGGGATCTGCCATTTTTTCTTCTTCTTTGCAATCTGTTAGTATATATTTTTACGACGTCATATCCGTGACGAAATACGTCAGCGGAGCCGTGGTGGACCTTGGCTACCCCGGCATAAAACACGTTCCTGTTAAATAAAATTGCTTTGAGTGACACATGCACAGCCGACAAATAAACAAACGACAGATGCGCTTCGAGCGACACGACCAGTGCGTGGACCGTGGCAAAAGGAATAGCTGCGGCTCCGAATACCGTCTTTCACGTACGTCAGCATTTTTGTCGGCTGCACAGAGACGCTTGGTAGATTTCGTGGCTGATGATTGTCCTGTCCACGATGTCCTCTCTTCGACGACCGCTCGCCGATCGGGGCATCATCCACGGACTTTTCTGACCCAATCTCTTACTTTTCTCTCAATATATTTACTTCTCTCTCTAGCTCTTTGAATCTCTCCTTATCCCTCCCCTTGTGAACCACTGCTGAGGTGTCGCACTTTGCTGCAGAGAGTGTCCGTGTTCACTTTTCACTTTGTCCTTATTTAAAATCACTGTCATTGTTAACTCGCTAGCTGGTCAGCAATTCGAGCAGCGGCACCCGTGAATTACAAAAGTGACCCGCAATAACCACCGAACGCACCTGGTGTCGAGATCTGTCTGGCTGAGCAGCCAGACCAACCCTAATATGTTGTTTCGCAATAAAACTAATATACTTATAGAAATTTTCGTGAGTGAGAAAGACACAACACCCGTTCATCGGGCAAGCTGTTCTGTTCTGGCTTCCTTCGTTCTTCTCTTCCGTCTACCCAGCCCCACTTTGCATGTAAATTACAAAATACTTATTTCGGATACTAACAGATATTTGACATAAATTAATGTAGTCCGCTGGTAATAAACTTGCAAGACGACCAAAAGCACTTGTTTTTGGGTGAGGGGGTGCTTACTTGTTGCAGATGGCTGAGGCGCAAAAAAAAAAATAGTGAAACGGGAAGAGAAGAAAGCAAAACAGCGCATACGTCTGTTCTGTCTTCTCTTCTGCTCTTCCCGTCTCACGAAATGTTCTTTGCACCTCAGTCATCTGAACCTTGAAGAGGGCATTTTGGTGCGCATGCGTTTGCTGCTTTAATAAATTTTACTAAAAGGTTGCAAATGTATAAATATGTTAACATACAATTGGGAAGTAATGTATAAGATACAATTATTCTGGTAGTATTTAGTATCCGTATCTGAAATGTTTCATGCTCAATTATCTTATATTGTACTGCTACACAATTTCAAAGTATATTTTCTCAGCCCCGACTGCAAGGCGTCAAAAGTTTCTCTAAATACTTTGCGATCGCATAGCTTACAACCTAATAATCGGCACCTGTACAAACTGAAACGTTCTATTTGCACCCGTATACAGTAACGCACAAGTCTGAAGAAAATTTTTCCTTTACTGTATTTAGACGTATTCTGCTGATCGCTGCTGCTCTGGGGCTTTGACGGAGCATCTTCACCTTGACGAACATCAGCGGCCTCGTCTCCCCAGGTCGCTCACTTCAGCATTTCTGACGAAGACTCATTGAACGACGCCTTGTTGAGATTGAAGAATGGGCCTTTGGACAAGTTAGTATTTTATTAGAGAACTTTCTCTGCTTTATTCTGAATGGGAATGTCACGTGATGTGTTTAGCGGTCATCTGCAATAAGCCGAAAAACACTAAGATAAATAAACATACCGTTTGGCCAGACATTTTGTGAAATGATCAACAAATTTTTAGGTAAAATTTTCATGTTGCTTCTTTGCTTAAATGTTGGTTAAATAATATTTTCTAATTAGAGAATTAAACGGAAAAAATTGTGGGACGTACTCTAGACGATGGTAAGCAACATACATGTGTTCGCATTGTGATAGAATGCGACGGCATATTTTTCAACTAGGGCTAAAGATAGCTGAAGCACACTTTATATTGTCACGGGATCGTGACGTTGGCGAAGGCAGAAGCTGATGCGTTTAAGATGCAACCCCTAACCTGTGCTCTGAAAATAAGAAGCAGAGTACAAGCAATTCAAGCTGCACGCTGACAGCGGCGAGAACAGCGCCGGCTGCCGAATAAACTAGTCTACAGTGAGGTGCGTCGGCATTTAAAAATGCAGCATTGAACATACAACCCTAATCTTTGGTGTGCGGCTTAAGTTTTTGAATAAACTAAACTACACGAGTTTTTCGTGTAATCTTAACCGAACTCGCTCAAACAAACACGAAGCTTCCGAAGCATTTAGGCACGGTCTGCATCGAGCATTGGTGAGAGTTTTTGTGGATGAAACACGAATGCACCAAAATCGGGCCAAAAAAACGTGCGTCAGAGTGACAGACCATATGGTAGAACATCGGATATTCGGAAATTGCAGGTTCATGCCCTGTCTGCGGCAAAATACCTTTTCCTGCACTTTTCTTTTTTCACACTTACATTTAATTTGCTGCTAGTGAAATCTCCTGTACGTTTAAGAAACAGAAGTCGTTGCAGTTTCCACTTCTTTCGTATATAAATATGGGGAAAAAAGTGGCAATCATGTTAAAGTACAGTGATTCAATGTTTTCATACAATGGCAATGGTCAACACAAAACAAAATGTAAATCAGATCAAAAAGTGAAAAAGATACAGAGGCAGGAATTAAAAGCTGCTAAAAAGCAGCTTTTAATTCCTGTCCCTGCTCGAGTGGGTGAAAAAATAACTCGCCGTGAGCAGGAATCGAACCTACGATCTTCGAATAACGCAAATATATATATATATATATATATATATATATATATATATATATATATATATATATATATATATATATATATAATGTGTGTGTGTGTATGTGCTTTTAGCCCCCTTTATATGAATATAACTAAAAAAAACGTGGTTGGCACGCACCACCAGGACAGGGCCTAATTGGCTCGAGCCAACTTAACATCAATAAGAGGATAACGTGGCAAAGAAATTCTTGAAGCCAATTTGTTAACAAGAATAACGAAAGCAAAATTGAATGGGTTTCTCATGTGAGTGCAAGCAATGAACCGATTAGTTTTCAAAAAGCAGGCCGAAACATATCACTGGTGTATTTTCGCAAGATCAGTGTTTTGAGGCTCGCACATGCACGTTCGTGCCTGTGTGCGTGTGCGTGTGTGCATGTGTATGTTGTAATGCAGAGAAACAAGAGACAACACTTGCACGCTGGGCCAGCTTGTTCTTATTCTCGCTTTGTCTTTCTCGCCTTCCCCCTAGCTCATCGTGCGCCAGTCCCCGAGCACCTACTTAACCTCGACTACGCGGCGAAATGGCTTGGAGAGCTTCAGAATCGTGCTCGGGTGGACGACATTGGCTGTGCCTCATCGATCACTGCAGGCCCAGCAGCTACTCGACCCAGAACTGCCACGGTATGTGAAAACGTCTCTGGCGGGCGGTATTGGCTGCGCTTGGGGGCCGTTTGTTGAACTGCCTTGCTGGGCTCACTGTTGTTACAGCTGCAGCACGCATTGCAGACGATCCAGTTTTAGCAGTTTAGGTGCCCGTCTTCGCGACTGCATGCAGGGCAGCACATACGTACAAGCCCGGACGAGCTGCAGGTCGTGGTCGTGAATCGACATAGTAGCGTCTGCGTTGCTGTCCACGCAAACCTTGGTTTCGCGTTAACTATAATAAAAGGTGGTATCCAGTGGCTCCGTGTTGGGTCCGCACACGTGAACGCCACAACAGCTGCCGTCCACGCTGAAGTTTATTGAAGTTCTTCAATGGCATCTCGCTGCTCACGTAGAGCTGCATGGTCGCCCTCCGACCACTCTGGACCACGAATGGACACACGGACAGATGCATGGACGGACGCACGAATGGCTGCACGGACGGATGGACGCATGGACGGACGCAGGAGTGGATGCATGGACGAAAGCAGGGACTGACGCACAGATGAACGTGCGGACGCACGGACAGACGCACGCACGGACGGGCGGATGGACGCACAGGCGGCTACACAGACTCATGCATGGATGGACGGAAGCAAGAACGAATGAACGGATGGATGCTTCGCCCCACTATCCATTATTCACTCCCTGGATATGCTGCCATTTTTTTTTTTGGCAACAAAGAGTAGACGAGCAAAATCAACTGTGCAATGCATAAATAGGTTGATGACCGCAGAAAAGAGAACGATGCACGTAAAAGACATGGTTGAACATAAAGCAGTCTAAAGAAACGCGTTTCTGCGGCCTTCGGGGAAGCAATGAAAAACCCCTCTAAATTAGATAAAAATACGCTTGTATCTGCAACGTAGAACTGATAGGGAGGGATAAAATGCGACGAAAACGTGATGATAGCGAAAATGTTCTATACTTCTCTCATCGCTATAAAACCTCAATGTAGAAACTTGTTTGGGTACCAAGGTAGGACCTACATAAATATGGCACGTTCTCACTGTTCAAAAGTTTATTTTAAAAGTGATAAAATGTGCACCAGATGTCTCATCCTTGCCCAACCTGTGCGGCAAAATGAGACGCTAAGTGTCACTAAACGAGACAGTGTGAAAAAATGTTTCGCTGCAGTATTTGCTATATAAACACATGAAAAGTCACTCCGTTGGCTTCCGTGCAATCTTCGTAAGCTCAGTCCTTTCACTCCACGCATTGAATTCATTTCGAATCCTGGGTTGTGTTGCTCCAAAACGCTTTGCAAATCAAACAACACCCGCCCTTCTTTGTGCTAATGTTGTATTTTTGAACGTCTGTGCTTCGTTGGGTTATTCATTAAATTGGAGGCTAGATATGTTCTGATTAATTTTTTGGCTCTTTTTGCCGTTTCAATGCATAACTGCACGGGCATTTTGTGGCCTTCAACTTCATCAACCGGTTTTTAAAACTAGGTTTGGATTTCTGAAAGCTTGTTATTTTTTGAAATTTCGTTATTGGAGAAATGTTATTAAAGCTCGATCCCAGAACGCGTTCATGAACAACTTAAGAGATTATTTTAAGTTCTTCATGCGCCTGTGGAGAGCATCTTTGGGAACGCAGAACAACCTTGACGCAGCGTGAATGGAGCAAGTCTTGTCGTGAGCAGCAGTGTGGGCTTTTTCAGGTCATTTTCCTACAATGAAGATCTATGTAATATTATCTTGTAAATGCGAACCTTTCTAAAATATATAATAATAAGTGTAAGTAAATAGTTCACTTATTAAGGCACTTTCGAAGCCAACTCGATGCCTTTTTGTCGCGTTTCAACCCTCTCACAAGTCCGAATTAAAAAAAATGCCGCTTTCTTGCACCAAATTAACTAAAATTTTGGTGTCATAATAAAACAAATACTTAAGCTGTTATACTGACACCAGAGCAGCGTTACGCATGGATCCGAAAATATGACTGAGTAGAATTCTAGCTCTTTTTGACGGGTCACTAACGCACTGCCACTAGCCGTGTAACTTTTCCAGCGCGAACGCTGTGAGCAATCAACTTTTGCTCATGAGAAGGTAAGGCAGGTATCAATACGCTTGTCGCTGGAAATGATCAACAAAGAAAAGTACTTTTTGTGTTAGCTACACAAGTCGGCAAAGTCAAAGTGTTGCGTTTTGCCCCGTGTCTCATTTCGCCCCACCGTACCCTACCAAGTTCGAAACGCGTAGCTTCACACTACGAACAAAAGAATATGTAAATAATGTACATAATAAACATAAAATCATAATAATATTCACTAAAGAATATACAAAAGTTCAAAGACATGTCGCTGTCTACATTTAAAATTAAAAAAATAACATGCTAATTGAAAACAAGATGTATGATTGTCACGTTCACAACTTTTGAAAGAGGAAATAAGGCAATTAATGAAGAGAGTTAAGTACAGATGGTAAGACTGGTGTAAATACCTCGCGTGGAACAGCGCGGTGCTCAGGTGGCAAGTTCGCAGCACTTGCCACCTGAGCACAATGACAAGTGCTGACGACGTGAAGTCGTCAGAGTTCTTCCACGCGGACCTGCCAGAATGGCTCCATCGACCAGGGGCGCAAGGCTTCCGCAGAGGCTGATGTCGTCTACGTCTGCTCGGGACGCATCGATGTCCACCGTGTTGTCTTTCTTTAGCAAAACGTTCGTACCCTCGGCCAGTGACTGCCGTGAGCATGTGTATTCGACTGGTCACAGAAGCTACGCTTGGTATCGATAGACAATTCTGGCAGTGATCTCGACTTGGGACTTTTGGGCTGTTGTAGTAGGAGCGAAGCGGGAGATGGTGAGTCCAGTGGAATCTACGGTGAGACGAACTTCACGAGAGAAGAGGTAGTCGGCCTTTATGATCATATCAGCAGGCAGGTCTTCAAAGACGGGAACACCGGCCAGGAACTTGTTTTTCCGGAAGGCTTCCGTTTGGAGATGCAGGTCAAGTGCACTGACAGGCAATGCGCAACCACCGAGGACAGGAAGGGGCGCCTCAGGCCATGGTTTGAGGTTGGCACCCTCTATACGAGGTGTCTCGTGAAAGGGATGGTACCAGAATCC